CAGAATAAGGTACATCTTGTGTGATGATTTTCAGTTTTTTGAACATTTTTCTTTTTGTTGTCACAGCACAGAGCAGAGGGAAGCCAGAGAGTTTGTTGCAGGTTCTCCCATTGCATTCAGATCTGGCTTTCATTTGGGGATTCAATTCAATGAATCAAGGCTTTTGGTATTTGGGCACCATACAGGGCCGGAACAGATCAAAAGGTGGTTTTATTATGAGCACAATTGACGTGGTGAATAAACTTCAGTAAAGGTTTCAGGCAGAAAAAGAAAGGTGAGATGACAAAGGGGAGAAAATAGCCAATGCAAATGAAGTTTAATAAAAACATAGCTTCAATGAGCAAATGAGAACAACAACCAATGACTTCCATGCGTTCCCAGTGGGCTCTATCACTTGTCACTGCTGCTACTACTACTACTGAGGAAACAGAAAGAGAAACAGGTTCTTGTAGTTGTAGTAGTTGTTGTAGTAGTAGTAGTAGTAGTTGTAGTAGTAGTAGTAGTAGTAGTAGTAGTAGTAGTGGTAGTAGTAGTAGTAGTAGTAGTAGTAGTAGTAGCAGTAGCAGCGGCAGCAGTAGTAGTAGTAGTAGTAGTAGGTAGTGGTAGGTGGTAGTAGTAGTAGTAGTGGTAGGAATAGGTGGTAGTAGTAGTAGTTGTAGCAGCTACTACTACCACTACTACGACTACCACTACTACGACTACCACTACTACTACTCCCACTACTACCACTACTACTACTACTACTACTGCTACTACTACTACTGCTACTACTACTACTACTACTACTACTACTAGCCTCGTTCCACACCACTTGACAATACTTGAGTTTCAAGTGCACACTAAATGAGAAATTGTGATTAATTTACACTTACTCGATTTATGGTTCCATGTACACTTGAGGAAACCCTTGAACAAGATCTCTGCACTTGAAACCGAACTCCACGGCTTGACCAATCCTGGACCAGGATCGCCTGCTGGAAAAAAAGAAAAACGAAAAAAAGCCCCCAGTCGGAGTGCTGGAGGTATCCGCTGGCACTTGAACTCAAGGTACCTCTTGGAGGTGACTTGAATTCAAGGGCAATTTTGGCTGTGTCGCCCTTGAGTTTCAAGGGTGCACCCTTGGGACGCAAAAAAGTGAAAACAAAGGGGGTCGCTCTAAGGGGGGGGTGGAACAATGATTTTTCGCTTCGCGCTTGAACTCAAGTGGTGTGGAACGAGGCCCTACTACTATTGTCTACCGCGTGGGCGCGGGGAACGCAGCCCTAAGGTAGCCAAATCAATGAGACTAAGAGCTAACACAAGAGAGAGAGAGAGAGAGAGAGAGAGAGAGAGAGAGAGAGAGAGAGAGAGAGAGAGA